GATCGTTTGCTCTTCCCCAAGATGTTAGCACCCAAATGAGCATGTACAAGACCACGAGGACCACGATGGCCATGACCACCACTGCACCTTGGAAGAGCAAAAACAAATCAAAACACATATTGTGATGGTCTTGATAGTACGCGAATTCAAGCACTTGTTATGCTCTGCTCAGTTGTGCTCTGAAACCCCTTGCCTACTCAGATTCATCTCAAGTCTGCTCCACACATGCATCACCCCCCTCTCTCTGCATGTTTTCTTTGAGTTGTTGTGGGACAAGGAAAACAGCATGTCGACATAGGCATTGTATTGGATGGTGTCATGTGATGTCATATTGCAGTCTTCTTCTCTGCCACGGCCACACCCTGCCTTCTTTGGAGTTTCGAAGCTCTACGAACTCTTTGTCGGTAAGCAGGCTAATGCAAAGCTGTATGGAGGTCATTCGGTCAAAGGAGGAGAGCACCACCATCAGGAGGCTCGAGCTAAGTCTTTGAAGATGAGAATGCTGCGAAAGTATGCAGCCTTGGTGTCCAGCTGAGAGTGCCATTTGTAAGAAGGGTGAGCAGGTTAGACAGAAATTCTTGAGATGTGCTTAGGCTAAGCTACTGTAGATGGAAACATGTTTCACATTGTTTCACGCATGTCAGTTCACACCACAGCAGGGATTATAAGTATATAGAGTAGAGGTTGAGACCTTGGACCTTGGCCACAAAATGGAGAAGGCAACATGCACGGCAAAAGCCAAGCGATTGCACCCAGTGGCTGTAAGAGCTGTCTTCATCGGGCCTCCACTCTTTCAAAACCTCACGTTTAGCGCTGTCCAAGGTGAGGCTTTTGTGCAAATGCCTTCCCAAAGCATGCGCTGACCTCACGATGGAACCATGAGTTCATCACAGAATGTCTAAACGTTCCCATCCATGCCACAGGAGGTCTGCAAGAGAATGCTATCATTTTAAGGGTGGAGGCCATCATCGCTACTAGGTTGGAAGCCACCGCTCTTAGGTTGGAGCCCATCGCTCTTACAATTGAGGTAGGACAAAGCCGGTACTGCTAGAATTCTGACTGCCTGCCCACCTTGGAGTGGAGGAGGCCGACATGATGGATATGGATTGAGTCAAGCTTATGGGCTGTGGTTGCTCCTCCTCATCACAAAGATGCAGCTGGTGAGCCAAATAATCCATAGCGGACTCTTCGCCGAAAACGGCTCCCGTCTCCTCCTAGACGTTGTGCAAACCGCGGTGGCGCTTCAAGGGGTTCAACATCGTTACGATACGCCGACGCCGTACGAGGACAACAAACACATGTCGAAAACGAACTGATGGCATCTTAAATTAAGCATCCTCAGAAAACGAACTGGTCAGTATATACTTATATAGATAAGTTAGGGCCTCTTTTGATACAATTGTGCTATAACTATGGCTAATATCGTATTTTCCATTATGTATTATATATATATCTTATCCGTTATGTTGTTTTTGAACATGTAGACATTGGGGAGTTGCTGGTGAGTGAATGGGGTATAATGGGGTTCGAGTTTTCCACTTTGGGGTCACAACCTTCAGTGCCCTGGGTTCTGAATGTGAAGGAAACTTCGGAGTCTGGAGTTTCTCCTCTTGTCTCAGGTTCCCATAGGTTCAAGTGTTGTACAGCTTTACCTGTACATATTCATTCACCCACATGAGAGACTGTTATTCCCCTCCGAGGCTCGATGGAGAGAAAAGAAACGTAGCTAAGTAGGGCCAGGCGGCCAGGAGCCCCTAGTAGCTTCTTGTTACTACTAGTAAGGCACTTGTCACTAGTAGCGATGCACTTGTTACTGCCGTAGCAATGTTGCCAAGTTTCCACAGCAATACTTCAAGCAGTGCTTCTATGACCACAAACGCCCCAACAGGAAATACATAGCTACTACATTACAAAATACACTGTTTGCTCTACTCTTCACAAAAAAACAATGCTTGCTAGTAGCTGTCTTGCACCGAGTACGGCAAACATGGGTAAGCCTCTTTAATACTCGCAGAAGTCCTGGCTCAAATCCCAAAGACCATGTTTGGCAGAGCCTTGTATAAACCCTGGGGTTTGAGGCAGGAATCCATCCGGGGGCATGACAGTCTTCAGTCTTGAGTTTCATCATGTTTGTCTGAGGCACATTGAAGAAGAAGCCTGTACGAAGAGGCTTGTGCCCTCGGTGCAGGATCTGCTCCATCAATCCTGTGAGAAATCGATCATTAAATCGTGGCTGCCCATGTGGAGGATCGAACAGGGTGCGGCCCTTGCGATGGTAAACTCCTCAGAGGACAAGCATACGGGCACGTGAGGCATGCGTTGAAATGGACAAGAAACTGGCAAAGGACATCAATGGACATGATTTTGTGACATTGAGGCCACCAATCAAACCTGACCAAGCATGTTTGTTTGTTGTTCAGGACTTACAAGTAGACGTGACATCACTGCGCCCAGCTCGATGATTCCAAACATGTTTGTTCGGGCCCTTCAAATGGACCATGCTAGGACACAACATTTTCCTAATCAACATCTGCGGATTTGCCATCAGTGAGAGAAAAAGACACCACTTGCACCAAAGGATCTGCCACTTGGGTAGTGCAAAGGCCACCAGGGGAAAGGGCAGCTAGGGCATAGATAGCCATCCCCTGGTTCCTCAGACAGCCAGGTGCAAACATCTGAAACCATCTGAAAATATCTGAAACCCCTCAACTGGCCTAACAAATCCACAGGACACAAATGGATACAATGCCATCCCTCACACTGTGGCTCACTGGACAGCTTCTGGAAACACAATACCGCAACACCGAGTAACATGGAACATTCGGTCGCCATTAGAGGTGTTTGTCACATTGTCTTAAGTCTGCGCCTTAGGTTGGAGGCCATCGCTATAAATGCAACGTGCAACGTTGAAGCTGCGCTTTCGCCGGGCTGGCCCTACCGTCCTACTTGTACTATCTTGTGCTATCATGTACCTCAACAGTTCATCCAAACCTATTTCAGGACCAATGCCACCAATATGCCAACCAATTCATGCTGAGCTTCAGAATCTTCTTCCACGGGATGCAGCGGAAGCACCTGCCCAGATTCCACTCCCTCAACTGGAGGATCCTGCGGCAGCTGGGTGTGCTCCCCCTCCAATGGCTCAAGGAAGGTGACCATGCGAGCTGCTTTTTGCAGGCGAAAGGTCCCACCCTTCAAGCAGTTGTGCTCAAGCTAATCTTGCATGATACAACATGAAGCTCTTTGACTTACAAGTTCCATGCTTAATTTCGTCGTACATGCCATTTGGATGCAGTATGATGTTCTGCACATGCCAGTTCTGGTTTTCCATGCTCTAGTTGGTATGAACGCTGTGTATGATCATCGCTTTGCTCTGCAAATTCGTCATGCGCATTTGAGCCATAAGTGCTTTGCGGTGGACGATGCTGCTCACCAAATGAGTCACGAGTCACTGCACTACCGAATAAGTCACTGCTTACATCGAGGACACCGGGCAGTGATGCAAATCATGGGCTTCCGATGACGTTCGATGGCTTCTCTCACCATGAGTATAGAGATTCTCCTCGTCGACCGTTGGTCTTGAAATACGGGGAGACGCAGCGTCTTGACGCCAAAGACTTGCAGAACCTGCACAGGTTGCTTTCGTTGCTTTGCAGTTCACATGGTCACTTGCACTTTATTTGTTATAATATGTATATATATATCTCTCTCTCTCTCTTCCAGCCATTCTGCTACCTTTTGCACTGTTGTGATGCGTCAATGGCATTTAAACCATGACGCGAAAAAATGTTGCAAGTGGAATTGCATCTATAGCAATGACCAAGATTTGCATGTTGAACCTGTATATGTGCAACCGAGAAAAGCCAAGCAACTCGCGGTTTGAAGACCCAAAGTTCTTTCCCAACCAGCTTCGCTCCGTCTGGATGTGCATGGTAAAGCGTGACTCCTCACACTGACACGTGACGCCTGTGATGAGAATTGGGGTCGCAGCATCAACAAGATCAGACAGATTGTCGAAACTGCCATCAGCAACCATTTAAGAACAAATGTCGGAAGGTCGTGGGTATATAATGTAGCACTTTTCCGCTGCTTCTGTCTGCTACTTTTCCGGGCTCGCAAAGACTTCACCTTAAGAACACTTTGAAGAAAAGGTCATCCAAGCTACTAGAAACAAGTGCATCGCTACTAGTAACAAGTGCCTTACTAGTAGTAACAAGAAGCTATTAGAAACAAGTGCAGCTGAGGATTTCGTAGCTTGGGTGGCCTCTTCTGCACGAGATGCTCGAGCCCCGGTCGGGTTTTCCGTTCTTCCCCTCCTGGGTCCCAATGAACGCGGTAGCCCTTGCAGCAATCCACATCCTCGATCCACCGGGATCAGCTACTGGTATGTTCAGGTCCCTCAATTTGTGTTGAACTGTAATGAACTGTAATGGTTTCTGCTAGCTTCTTGTTACTACTAGTAAGGCACTTGTTACTAGTAGCGATGCACTTGTTACTAGAAGCTTATTGTTTCTACTAGCTTCTTGTGTTGAACTGTAGTCTATAGGATTTCTGATAGTATCTGACTCCGATCGCTCATTGTGACATCGAAGCGGTTTTGGACAATAGAATGCGGTACAGGTGCGCAACTCTATTTCTCTGCTCAGGGCATCTTAACTTATCCAAGTCATGTCATCAGTTGAGCTGTTTCAAAACAAGTCAAAACATGCCGAAATCTGCTAGACGTTGAATGACGCTACTAGCTGTATGATCAGGATACGCGCCCTTTGGACTGCGAACATCTATTCCTGGGGCCCGGTCTCAATGGCAGCTAGTTCACCTTCCAATAAGCCTGGAAGAATTGGCCCGAATTCACTTGCAAAGCCCTGAACATGTTTGCAATCTTTATATAGACAATGCAGTACAGCATAGTACAGAATGGCTTCATGTCAGATTCTCTCACCACGTCTCCATGATGTGCCGCATTATGCCGCCAATCTAGTCTAAAAGCTCTTTGCATCCTAGCATCCACTGAGGTCTGCCTGGGTCAACGCGGCCAACTGACGAAGCTACCGGCTCTTTGCTTTGACATCCCTTGGGTGTTTACTGCTTCAGGGACTGGTGGCTCATGGTCTCATGGTGGGTCTTAGAACTTGATATGTTCAGTATCTATCAGTCTCTATCAGTCTCTTGGATATCTGGCTCAGTCTGCGACATCACGAAAATCTTCCAAGAAGAAGACCTCACCTGGCAGCCAACTTGAGAAGAACAATGCGAGGCTGCGCCACAAGACTTGAACGATGTTCCAGCCATGACGATCGCAACAATTAAAATTCACATCCATTGACGATCAAAATTGAGAATTGGAGTAGCCTTTTAAGAGTTGTTCAATTCTGATTGCAGTCCAGGAAGTAGGTCGGGGAGAGGTGTTGCATGTTACTGAGGCCAAGCATTGCAAGTTCATAGGTGAATTGAAGGAGGGCTATAATCATTATTCCTGCCCTCCAGGTTCATTATTCCTGCCCTTCAGGTTCATTAAATGGGCCGCTGGGGACCCTTCCAGAAACATTTCCGGGCATGCTTGCAATACACTTGGCTGGCTTCACTTGACCACCCGCACACCCGTAGGCTATGATACTACTGTATCTGTTCCATGAATCTATCTTGATTGAGATGCTTGGTTCGCACAGGTGAAGGTGCACCGCTTCGCCTGTCCGGACACCTGATTTCAAGTTGTCCCTCAAGTCGTTGGGAGCATCAGTTGCGACATACACCTGGAGAAGCGTAGGCAGTGTAGGTGCAAACGGCCGCTCAGCTGCTCTGCGGCGTAGGTGCAAGCTGCAAACAACATCAAACAACAAACATCTGGAATCTGCATGGAGTCGAGCCTGAAGAAAATGCGCAAAGAAGCGTCTTTCCGTGATGTATCCAAGCAAAATCAACGAGTGTAGGAATTGGCTGGGATCCACCTGCCTACAACCACCGGTTGGTTTTCATTGAGCGGTCCATAAGCTTGAACCATTTACCGCATTCAAATGCTGGAAACCAGTCGGAGGCGGCAACTGCTGCAGGACACTTTGTCACACTTAAATGGACATGTTTTTGACTGACACCTAGTCCGTTTCTCTCTGACAAGCACCTGGCTAGGTGAGTTTCTACTCAAAATGCCAAGTTGCACCCATGGCTTCCAAAGACCCCCCCCCAGTCGGTTGGAGGCCATTGCTATTAGGTTCCTTAGAAGGTCGCAAGACAAGTCGTGCCTGGTCAAGGTTGAAGTCTGCCAAGGCCAGCTCCAGTTGCTCCACCACAGCTTCCACGCTCGGGGTCGTTGCTTCCCGGACCTTGAGGAAGTCTGTGCCTTGAAAGAACCGAGTCACAGAAATCGAGTCCAAAGAGTGTCCAAAGAGATTCTTTTGATTGATTGGTGGAGAGGCTGTGTCCCGGCTGCACGAAAGCTTGCTTTCATACTTGGGGGTCGTAGCAAGCAACTTCACCCTCTCAAAAGTGGGAAGGGTCCGATTCATATGAGGATGATATTATAGGTCTGGAGCTGAGAACCCCGAAACTAAATACTGACACGGTGTCACTGACAGGTGCAGTCTAATTATTCAAGAGATGCATGATGCAGGGAATAATAGAGCCGAATAGGGACAAATGAATGTAGCGCAACAAGCAAAGAGTAGCCGAGTAGCAACACGTCCGGCAATTCCAGTTACATCAATGCGCTACACTGCTACAAGACCTTTGTTGGAGGGCACAAGAGAAGGCTGGCTGCACCATCTGCCAAAATGACCATCCGCTTCCCCATATTTTGGTGAAGCCGAGCAACGCCGGCAATGGACGGCCAAAAAGGGCTTTGACTGCAGAACATCTCGCATATACCTGGGGTAGAGGTCTTGCCGGTTCTTGCTTATTTGGGACATGTCACCTGTCCCTTCAACCCCCACAACGGTTTAGATGCAGGCATCTATGCACTGACTTTAAGTATATACTTTCGTTGAACTGCCACTGCTGTCAGAAGAAGCCGCACAAACAAGAATGTTTGGCAGCTATCTGATGCCAGGTGTTTGGTCGTTATGTTTTGTAAAAACAAAAACGATGTCTAGTAGCAAGGACGCTACTAGGAGCAAAGGGCATCCCTACTAGGAACAGGGACGCTACTAGGGGCTCCTGTCTTTGCTACTAGGAGCAAGAAGCTACTAGGGGCTCCTGGCCCTACTACTAGGAGCAAGGACGCTACTAGGGGCTCCTGGGCTCCTGGCCTTACTACTAATAACCAGAAGCTATTAGAAACAAGAAACGCTGTCTCCGTTGTCTCCAAGTTCCCGCCTTTCGCCCAGATCGCGGAGGGGCTTCGCAAAGAGCATGGCCTCACGAAGGCCCAAAGCATCCAATTCCTCCTGGCCGATGAATGCGTTGATGGATCTCAGACATGAAACAAAGGCGTTTGAACACGTTTGAACATCAACCGCCTTGTTGGTGGTAGCAAGTATAAGAACAATATAAGGCAGTTATATGTGTCCACCCCCAAATTCAGCATCACCCGTTCACACATTGTAGACTCGCGCGATAACGAGCTGTTGAGGTTGCAAGAACAGTAGCCAGTGGTCAAAGCTCCTTGCCGGGAGGCGATACTGAATCAGCAGCTTTTAGCAAGACCTGAGTCAAAGAATGCAGTCTTCCAATATCGCTTAGAAGGAAGCCGCCGCAAGGAAAGAACTGGTGGCCCAAGACTACTACTCGTGTATACATTACCCATTGCCGTTCCTGCATGTTCCTGCAACTCCCTGCCACATGCAAACAACTTACAAAGAACAACTGCAGGCTTGCACCTTGTAACATGGTGCCATACTAACCGGGTGGTATACACTACGACCTAAGTGCCACTAGTGGTACTGTATACGGTCACGAACGTTGTGAAGCTGCCAAGTGGCAGATCGCGCCCCTTCACGCATCGCTGAAAGGGCCAGGTCCACCCAATCGCCTGCAGCGAGCCGAGGGTCCCGAGGGTCATGGTCCAAACAGTTGACCTTAATACCAAAGCTGAGTAATCCAAGAAGCGAAGTGGTTCTTTCTTTAGAGCCTAATAGCAATGACCTCCAACCTACTACACAGCACTCTGACTCACAGCAGGTGAATGGCATCACCTCTTTGTAGTCATTGTAGAGGACAATGGTCTTTCCAGTGCCCATGCGCCACTTCCATGTTAGTGAGTCGGAGCGTAGCGTATATATATATATATATACCTGAGAACGGGGGAACGAAAGCCAGCAGCCGCCAGACGAGTGTCTTTTTCTGGCGGGCGTCGCGGCACAAGACATGGTCAGCAGCTTGCGAGTCAGCGGTGCTGCGCTGCAGATGCGGGGCGTATGTAGTGGTGATGGAGGGAGCAGAGAAGCAAGCCGGGCGGCTTTGGGATAAGTTTGGTATGAAAGAAGTAGTGAAAGAGAAGTGCGATACGTTGTATGTTGGTGTAGGTCATCAAGGCAATGGCATGTGTTTGTCACGCGCGGGAAGGTATGCGTCTTATAGAAGTTGGAAGGCGAAGTCAGCGTTAGCGAAGGGGAGATACCATCTGAGTTCGAGTGGTGGGATACCACGCGCGCGCGCAGGAAGACCTGTGTTATAGGTATGTATGCGCCGCGCCGCGCCAGTATGGCGTGGGGTTGAAAAGAAGCAAGTATGTGTTTGTTACAGTTGGAGTGTTTGAAGTTTGCAATGCATACTGTTTGAAGTTTGCACGTCGAAAAAAGCGGCACTCGTTGATTTGGAAGAGTGAACGGGCACGTCTTAGCCGGGACACGGACGTTTGATCCCGCGGCGCAGAAAGGGGGGTCGCGCGGGAGTAGCTTGGGCTAGCAAAGGAGTGAGGATTTGTGTGCCTATCGATGCCAATGCCTGGACTTGAGTGAGTCATGTCCTGGCTCGATCCAAAACACAGTCTTTTTCTTTAAAGGGGCCTTTATTCAATGATCCAAACACCTTCTTTATTCTTCTCTTTCTTATCAACTCTGCGCTTTTCTCATTCAGAGGCCTTGACTTTGGCACCTGCGTGATCTTTGGGCCGTGGACGCAGGCTGACTGGATTCGGCCAGGGCTGCCAGCAATTTTTGTTTTCCTCTCTCTCTCTCTCTATCTCTATCTATCTATGTATGTATCTATCTGTCCGTCTTTCTATCTATCATTATCTATCTATCTATCTATCGTTCTATCTATCTGTAACGGCAAGCCGGAAAAACGTTCGGTGCGTGTGGAGGCTGCGAGAAGCATCCACTCGACTGAGGACATGGTGCAAGTATAGTTTTTGCCAGGGGGCAGGACCCTATGCGGATATGTAGTCAACCTCGCAGGCATCCCCACCGAAACTCAATCCACCGAAACTCATGTCACTTTCGGTTCTCTATGGACTTCGCGAGTTACGGGTTGTCCTGGGAACTCAAATCCTACATGCGGCGGCGGTCTGTTCTGTACGTGGTAGCCTCCGAAGCCCTTCATGATGCTAATGATGCACGACTCGGCCTCCGTTGCATCACTCGCATCACCAGACCCCATGTTCACTCCTTTTCTGACCCTCGCTTTGGAGCGCTCTCCCCCACCAAGCTCCGGGTTCGCCCTCTCAAATTGTGCCTTTTCGCGACCTGCCCCCCGCACACCCCCTTAACTCACTTCGTTCGCTCTAAAAGCTCAAGCCTAGCCTATCGGCTGGCTATGCATAACTAATATGCAAACAACAAACACAATATACAGGAGCAGGCTCAGGAGTCGGTGTCCAAAAGTCCCCCATCGGTGTCGCTTCTCATTTCAGGGGCGACGACCAACGGATTCACCACGCCGGGACAGGTCTCGGCTGCCCCAACGTGCCGAGGAGTCGGCAAGGACGGCACAGCGGTGGTCCACGGCGGCCTGGAACCGCCCCTTGCTCTTAGTAGCTTCTTCTTGCTCCTAGTAGCGATGCCAGGAGCCCCTAGTAGCGTCCTTGCTTCTGGTAGTAAGGCCAGGAGCTACTAGTAGCGTCCTAGCTCCTAGTAGCGATGCCCTTTGCTAAACAGAAAGCAGCCAGGTGCTCTTGACAAGGCCTCGCTAAAATCATGGGTTGAACATTTCAGCCCTGAGGCCTTTTGGAAGCTTGACATGTTCCAAAGCCCGTGGAAGGAAAGCCTCAATGTACAATGACACGCTTTCACTTAGGCTCTCACGACACCATCTGCACAGCTTCCCGAATAGGTCACTTGCCACCGTTGCTCCTGCAAACAAATTGCCCGTGTCCCATGTCAGGCGTCAAATTAAACATTGGTTTGACATGAGCATACATGAGCTGACTCAAACCACTTTGAGCTGTTCAGAGACTGCATGAGCAGGAACAGAACAAATTCTCGCAACGGGCCAGAGTTCTGCACAAGTATCCCAATGAATATCCCAACTATATACAATATCTTACTTGGTCACATCCATCAGAACCTCTGAATCAGCCCTCCTACGAACGAATGATCCCCTTCAGCTCTTTGACCATCTTCGACCTATCCCTTTCATTTCGCACATTCTTTTGCACTCACAGTGACCTAACGTTCGCCAGGATAACCCCTGGTGCTTCCCACGATCCACCAAAGTTACACGATGTGTGCCCTTCATGAGCCGCTTCAGCGGTGTCTGTGAGCTAGTCTTCCGACATTGCAATTTCTAAGACCCTTGACTTGAACTTTGGTTCTGCAAGACGCCAATGTTGAAGGGAGCATGCTTCGAGGGTATGGCGTGCCTAAGGAAACATTGAAAACATGATAGGCTGAGCAAACAAACACAAATCTCTTCAGAAAGCGAGGTAGATCGATACTGAAGTTAAAGGATGCTCAAGGCTTTGTACAAAAAAGGTGCTTTGTACAATCCTGGCTGAACTATTCTAGAGAGTCTTCTTGCTCAGTCCAGGCGCATGTTCTCAAAGCACCATGCTCCTGAATGGTCTCAAGGGTTGTTCTTGCTTTCGGGTTGCGCCCGGCATCAGGCCAGCCCGGAAGCTTGAATAGCAACACATCAAGAGTTTGAGTATATTTGAGCCATCTGTGCACCAAAGTGACTCTTGATGAATTGACCGGCAAGCACGCCAATCACTCAATTGAGGTCAAACATATTAAAACCAGTGGAGGCCGACCAGGGGGAAGAAGACCGTGCACCAGAACCGTGTATGGCTCTTCAGGTCGAGTTACACAGTGGGCCTGGCCACATGCCAGGCAACATCGGTGAGTAGGCAGGTGCCTGGCAAAACCGTCGTTTGGGAGCCAGGCACGGTGTAAGACACCAACTTCAACCAACTTCAACCAGCAGAAGTGCAAACGAACCCCACTGTCGAGTTGATCAACATTGACAGGAAGAAAAGCAACGGCAGCAACGCGGCTTTGATAGAATCTGATAGAAGCGCAATACAAAGCAACCTATGCAATAGCGATGGCCTCCAACCTACGAGCGATGGCCTCCAAGCAATATAAAGCAATATCGGTCGGAGGTGCCTGAGAGGGTGACTGTGACTGTGGCGAGACCAGGCCGACGGCCAAAGGCTGTGGAGCCTCCAGCAGCTCCATTCCTGAGCGCCCAACCACACAAACTGCCACATTGGCTCCTCAGATTCCCCCACCTTCCTGCTATGTGGCTCAAATGTACGTGACAATGTAGGCAGCCTTTAGATCAACAATATGGATCTGAGCCGCTTGCGGTTTTGCAACCAATCCTGCAACCCCAAATCCCCAAAATGGGAGCCCCTAGTAGCGTCCTTGTTCCTAGGTGCGTCCTTAGTTCCTAGTAATTAGCTTGGAACCTCTTCCACCCAGAACTGCCCCGTGATTCCAGGCATCCTTTTCGGAAGACTGCTCGCTGCTTGGCACGCCGCTTCTTCTCCCCGGCATCGCACAGGTGGCAGAACTCACACGCCATGCCGCTTTGGCAGCCCTTGGTGTGGAAGAATGCCTCCAGTAGCCAAGACATGCCAAGACTTAAGACCAACAAGGTGGCGCTTTTGTAAAGATCAGCGTTCTTTGTGCCTGGAATTCGCAAACAAAGCTAGACTTTTTGGATCTTCACGGAATTACATCTGAAGTACTTGCTCAAGGTTGTCGTCAGCCGCCACCGCACAAGTAAAATAGCATGAGCCTTCCAAGGATATCAAATACCAATTCCTACGGTCGACCCTTGCATTTCTGGCTGCCATTTGCGCTTGAAACGAAATCACATTGTTATCATTGTTTCCATTCGCAGCAAATGGCGCAAATTGCATAGCCAAGATGCACATGGCCTACATGTTCCAAGTCGGTGATTCCTGGAGCCCAGGGTTGGCACCTCTGGTGTACCCACTTCTGGCTCCTTCCTTGGCCACAAAAGCATACGAAAGACTTGGCTCGGATCTTCATGAAATGTTTGGATGTTCAAGGATCTTCAGTTGTTCTGGACCAGTTCTGGATGTTCTTTTTGCATGTAGCTCGCTTGGCCCGTGAGAGGCCTTCTCACATAAGACGAAGAGATCACATTGTTGCCAATCCGGGCACATGGGTATGGTGGGAATGATTGTTGTAGGGCCGCCCACCTGCGATCGGGTTGGGATGTTAACATTCCACATGATGTCCACGCAAATGTTTTTCACCCAAACAAAGAGAAACGATGAACAGTGACCAAAAACATTGTCATAATATCAAGTGTTCTTCTGGCAGCATCAACGGCTATCCTTGTCGAGTTGCAAGACCTGTGCCAGCTTCACTGGGACAGGTAAATCTGCAGCATATCCACTTGCTGGCAACCTAAGTCTGAAGAGTTGCCAGGCAGAATCGACTTCACAACGTTTCACAACCGTCTCAAAGCCAATCTCCAGTCCTTTTGTGCAAAGCAGCGGTGCAAGATTTAAAACATATATTATATATATATATATACATACATCAACAATTAAAACACATGTAACGCTATGCATTTCAACCACATCATATCCTGGCCGTCATGGAGAAGATCTGTAAACAGTGTCAATGTAGCACAACGGACAATTCTACGCTGTTCATGGTTGGAGGCCACTGCTATGAGGTTGGAGGCCAGCGCTCTTAGGTTGGAGGCCATCGCTAGTATGTTGGGAGGCCTGGAGGCCATCGCTAGTAGGTTCCAGGCCATCACTCTTAGGTGGGAGACCATCGCTCTTAGGTGGGAGACCATCGCTCTTAGGTTGGAGGCCATCGCTGTTGGGTTGGAAGCCATTGCTATTTGGTTGGAGGCGGTCGCTAGTGGGTTGGAGGCCATGGCTACTAGGTCGGAGGCCATGGCTAGTAGGTTATTAGGTTGGAGGCCCTCGCTCATATAGGTTGGAGTTGGAGGCCATTGTTAGGTTGGAGCCCATCGCTAGCAGGTTGGAGGTCATAGCTTACTAGGTTGGAGGCCATCGCTATTAGGTTGGAGGCCTTTGCTCCTAGTAGCTTCTTGCTCCTAGTAGCGATGCCAGGAGCCCCTAGTAGCGTCCTTGTCACTGCTAAGTCTCAAACTTCACAAGTGATCACTAAGTCCAGTGCGGTGGCAACTCTGTAGCCTCGAACTGGGGTGCCTTCTGTGAGGGTGGTGGTGGTGGCATCTCCTCGTGAGCACCCGTTGGACGGCGCTTTCAGCACATCCATGGAAACATGAGAACACGAGCTCTTTAGGACAGAAACTACCTGATTCCGCTGGCCAAACAAAGCAGATTCCGCTGACACCGGCCTTTGCAGATGGTGACTTCCCAGAAACGTCCGTGACACCTGCGACCCCCACCGCAGCGAGGAAGTCCTCTAAGCCTCGCAAGGTTTTTCAGCACACCGATAGAATGCGCCAGGGTAGCCCCATCAGCGGTGTAAGCCCTAGTAGCGTCCTCGTTCCTAGTAGCGATGCCCTTTGTTCCTAGTAGTGTCCGATCGCTCCTAGTAGTAAGGCCCTATCAGCCCTATTGCATCTGGAACTCTACCACTGACTGAGCATGTCAGCAACTTGTCGATTGGCTATGGCAATTTGTGGCTGTCATGAGTCATGGCTATCAGGCATCCTTGTTGAGCTGAAACTGAGATGGCACTTGCTATGAAGGATTACGAAGGTCAACTTGTTACGATGGGGGGCTTGAACCTTATGATCCCTTGATCCACATCAGTGTTCTCACTACCTCGCATTCTACAGGCTGCCTTCACCGCTCATGGTTCTTGGCCAGGCGGTGGGCATGACAGGAGTCATCCTTGGTGCAGCTATGATGTCCTTCCTATGGTCAAACAATTGCATATAGGACAATAGGACAATATAGGACAATGGCCTGGCACACTTTCATGGTGCTTGAGCTCACTCTGGTTCGAAAGGCTGGCATCGCATGTGACTTTATCTTATGGCATTCTAGCTAGCGTAGTTAGAAATGTCCACCAGCACTTCGTTTGGTCTTGGACTGTTCATCCAAGAAACTGCGGAACAGACTTCTGCTTGCTCCTGAGGGAGGCCAGGCAAGCTTCGAGTTGATGTTCAAAAGGCCCAAGCATCCCAGAAGCTTGCTGTAAGATTCAACCAAAAGGAGCGATATCTTTGAGTGCACTGCTGGAAAACAATATTGTGGCTCAATTGCGTTTCAAATTGCCTTTCCAAACCCATACAACCGTCCTTCAAGTGGGAAGGGGTCAATACACGTTTTATGACCCCTTTTGGGATTGAATTGACTTGAAGGTTCAATGACTAGCGACTAGTGATACCAGTTCATAGAAGCCTTCTGCAAATCGGTTCAATAAAGGTCTTGTTTGGAAGCGGGCGCTAGGGATGATCGTGGAAACCTTACGCTTGGGGCGTGACAGCTTTCCTCCAAAAAGTTTGTAATTATATCGGTTGATTTTGGCCACTGCTTTGAGGCAGCGCCCTGCATTGACGTTTTTGGCATATTTGTGGAGAACACCAAGGACGTGACAACTTGATATGACAAGCTGCTCAGCACGTGGCACGAACTCTGGCTCTTCATCCACTTGACTGTCAAACCTGCGACCGGACGATTTGCATATTGCAGATCTACTCAATATTTGCATGTAATCATTGAACATCACTTATATGTATGTTTGATTATCTTTTCCTCTTGCATGATCATACCACTCGCCCAGTGGCATGGAAACCATCACAAATACGTGAAGACATGCGTGAAAAGACCAAATATGCAAACTATGGAAGTAACGATGCATTCATTTGTCCATTCTCCTCCGTTCCTGTGTTTGAAAGCTCTCTTGTCTCTGATAACGTGCAAACATGTGCAAGCGGGCCCCATTCACAACCATGCCGGGCGCACGCTTTGCTCCCAAAGTGCCCAAAGGCACTGCCCGGCGCTGAGCGCAGGGCTCGTTCCTAGCAACATGTTCTCAAAGCATTAGCAGCGTTGCTAGTTGTCCAAGTGAAGCCAAGAACCAAGGCCCCTATCATTGTTTCAACACCGGCAAGTCGCCGACAAGCAAACCATGGGGTCCATGGGGTACCTTGATTAATGAGTACTCAAAAAATGGAATCGTATTTCACACATCCACTGCCCTGCGATGTCTCTTTATCTTGCACTCTCGGTGGACTAATCTGGCGAAGGGTTCAAGAAAAATATACATTATATATATATATCGAAAACTATGCACCAGTAAAAACAAGAGTTAAGTAATACATATCTATATATATATAATATATGCTTATGTATATAAATGTGTAATAAACGAGCCGCTTTCATCGTCTTGCATCAGCAAGCTACGTGGATCGCTGCAACCTGCCTCATAGAATTCGTCCAAGGAGGGTGGCCGGCCTTCATGGCAGACTGCCATGGCCCACTTTGGATTGCCATCGGAGGATGCCATTTGCAATCTACACGCTTCAATGGCCTAATTCAACTAAGAAAACGCCGGAAAGTATATACATATATTACTAGGAGCGAGGACGCTACTAGGGGCTCCTGGCCTTACTACTAGGAACCAGAAGCTACTAGGGACTCCTGGCATCGCTACTAGGAGCAAGGACGCTACTAGGGGCTCCTGGCCTTACTGCTAGGAACAAGAAGCTACTGGGGACTCCTGGCATCGCTACTAGGAGCAAGGACGCTACTAGGGGCTCCTGGCCTTACTACTAGGAACAAAAAGCTACTAGGGGCTCCTGGCATCGCTACTATGAGCAAGGACGCTAGCTATTAGTCGCATTTTAAGCAACAGCAGTTCTGCACCATTGAGCATGCCGCTGCGGCCTATGTCAGTGTCCAGGAAGGTATTTCTGACACTCACAGGTGACGGATACTCAATCTCTGGCAGCCCGGGAATGACCTTGGCGGAGTAAATACCAGCAGGGATAGGACATTCTGTGCTTCGGAGACTTTGTTCGATCTGTTTTACATTGTTCTTTATATGTTGTTTCCTCTTCTTCTCGCTTCTAGCTGTCTCTTGCTCACGCAAGTGTATGTTCCGTATGTCAAAAATTTCACTATGGCATCTGACCTGCTAGCGATGGCTTCCACCCTAGTAACTTAGTATCAACGGCCTCCAACGCACTAGAGATGTCATGGCACCTTCATCGGAGAGTTTGCATTCGCATTGTCCACCGCCCGGCTGCTGGCTGGAGTCTCCACCCGGAAGGGTGTCGAGGGGGTGGCCATGGCCCCGAGGAGGTCGGGCCCACCGGTCCACCGGTCTACATCTGAACCAAATGGTGCAGATTTTAGTAGTAACAAGTGCCACGCTAGTAGTAACAAGAAACTACTAGGAGCAAGTGCCACGCTAGTAGTAACAGGTGCCTTACTAGTAGTAACAAGAAGCTCTTAGTAACAAGTGCCACGCTAGTAGTAACGTACATCGATGCAGATCCGTGCCATGGCTGCCATGCTGTGGCTGTGTCCGACTACACATGACTCGACGATATACTCATAAGCTCAGCATTGGATCGAACACATCATGAAATTAGTTGACCATGTGAACAAATATTGAAGGCCCTCTTCTTAGACTCGACTTTCCACCACGGACACACGGCAAGCAGTGTCTACTAGACGATCGGATCGGCCGATTTCGTCTGATTCACTCCGTCTCCTTCGCCATCCATTCCTGCCGTGGAGGCGTCAAAGAGCCAGAGGTGTAGCACTGCTGGACATTGCGCGTGAAGCCTGAGCAACTGAAACTCTGAAACATTGGCCTTCCGAAATGCTTTGACCGGACACGCTTCACTTTCTAGACCGGGATGGTTTCTTGGTGCATTGAGCATCTTTAGCTTGAGTTCTCTCTGAACTACACAAGTCTCTCTTTCTCTTCAGCACTCCTGCGTATTGTTGCACACCCGTTTGATGAACCACTGGACTGCTGCCACGCGACCGTAGAAACCTCCTGACTTCCGCGGTTTGCTCATCATTTGGCTCCGTGGCCTTAGCCAAATCCACATGTAAAATCGCTTCTTCTAGTAGCTTCTTGCTACTAATAGCAATGGCCTAGTTCTGATTCAAATCAGCTTCATCCTTCTTCAATGTCCGAATTTGATTCTTTGACCTGGCTTTTACCTTTGGCCAGCCTAATGCACAAATTAGTTGGCGACATTGGGATGTCGTGTCAATTGCAGCGCGTGTGCAAACCAAACACAAACAAAGCGGTGGCTGCCCAGCTGAGCCCCAAACTGGCGCTCTGTAGTAGTGCTAATCACCACGTCCACATTGGGACCGCCTGCTCCACCGCACTACTTAGCCACATGCATTCGCTGTCTTCGATGTGGCCGAAGATTCTCCGAACTGGAATGATCAGAATATGGACATCAAATAGCAGCATATAACAGCATATAGCACATCCATGACGTTCATCCTCAATTGTTCTAACCCAAGTGGGCAAGTTGTCAGTCGTGGCAAAATGGCCAAGGCTCACCAGCAATTTTGGTAAACTCATAGAACTCCTGGCCATGGCAAGGGCACCAAGCGTGCTAAGGGGAGGCAAACCATCTTGTGCGATTGCCCACGCCATTTTCAATTCACAAGGAGAAACAAACCAATTCTCGCCGACCTCTCAACACCAGACCCACAATCAAGTCTAGCCTACAAACTATCTGTACAAGTCCACCCTAATAGCGATGGCCTCCACCCAAGTCTAGCCTATTCTTTGTACACGTCATTGTCATGCAAAATCAACATGGTGGTCACATGCAGTCACGCACTGACTGGGTCAGACCGTGAAGACGCAAAAGCCTTCGCCAGTGGAGTGGAGAGTACCGTGTATACCGTATACCCTCTAATCTGCTCGAACGCTAGCTTTGTCTGGCTCCCTTGTCCACGTACTTGAACAAACCTAGTCAAACTCCCTATGGCCGGTTCGGCTCTTGGCCCACTGAACAAAGGGTGCCGTTGCACCACTGAACTCGTCTCCGTCTTTTCGCACGATTCCCTTTGGCCGTTTCGCCGCGGGCTCCATCACGCTGATGTTCGGCGAGCGCAGGGCCGTAGCATCGAAAAACCGCTCCCAGGGAACCTGCCATCGGCGCGCCGCTGGTCTTCTTAATCAAGTAGGCGCCTACTTCATTAGGTAAGGAGGTAAGCTACCAGCAATAGGAAGCTCCTAGCTAAGCAGCTAGGTAAACTTAACTTCCCTCTGATGTGAAAATCAAACTACAAAGTATCAGAGATCTTCGCTTCTGGCCCCGACTAAACCATGAACATCATATTGATATGATCATGCAAGAACTGGAGGCCAAAACCGTGAGGCTCTGACTGCTGACCCATGACACCTCAACGGCTTCACAAGGAATGAAAGTAAGATAGCCCAGGACAGGGCATTTAAGGGCCCAACGGCCCACAAACATGATGGCAGTGCAGGTTCCTGACTGGATTGCCGCCAGTGTGCCAACCTGGCGACTCAGAATGTGGTGCGACCTTGGTGATCAAAGACCTGGCACATTAAAAAGACCTCTATTGTTCATTTCTAGGTGATTGAGGTTTTGCCGGGATCATGCTTGTTGACAAACCACAGTGATGAACTATCTGAATTCTCAAAGCCCGCTGGCCAGGCCTACACCAGGGAGGGAGCACCAAGCTCCAACGTGGGCAAGTTCGGGCACTGCCACACTGCTGCTGAGCTGCAGCGTTGAGCTGAGACACCTCGGTGTATCTCACATCTTGCATTCCTTGGAACTCCCTCGAACACCTCTTGAGTTTCCTTTGAAGGAATATCTGATATTCTTGCTCAAACCACGCATTTGCATGCATTTGCAAGCAAACTTAGAAGTCATAATTGCAAAACCGAGGGCAAACCGAGCCCACACAGGTCATAATTGCTCGTCCTTCATAATAGGGCAAAGCGTCGATCCATCCCACACGGGGAAAGACCTCCCGCTGTAAGTTGAAGCCTTCGCCAGGTTTCACCTCAATCACCAGAATCACCATCCATTGCTATCAGGATGGAGGCCATCGCTATTACAGTAGGATACACAGTAGGTTGGAGGCCATTGCTATTAGGTCAGAGCCATTGGGAGGTCACTCTCTTGGACTCTGTGTCCGCATTCCAACGGCGCTAGTCAGTGGAGCTGTAGTACAAGGTCAGTGGTGCAAGACTGCTTTGCATTGTAGGCCAAGTTGCTAACATGTTCAAAGGTCTTTACGATGTTTTACGCATCGACATGTTTGTTTGCGGTGTTCCTGCCGCTGGTCCGCTCATTGAAGCCGGATGAGCACTGCAGCAGGTAGGTCACTGTCTCTCAACCACTCTTGCACGGCCAAAGTGGCCGGCATTGCAGTCCTATAGGTCCTGTTTTCTGACAGATTTATGGCCTGTTGAAGCCACCGTTGCCATGGTACACGTAAACGAGCTATAGCTGATGAAGTTCCAGCAAGATCACGCAAGCAGCAAAATTTCACACAATGAGCATGTCCAAGAAAAAGTGCTTCAAACATTATTGCCATCCTTTGGTCTGAAATGTTTGACAATTCCTCACAAAATGCCATATCTACGAGACTACCTACGAGATCTGAAGAATGTCTGGTGAGAAAGCTCCTTTCCGACAAGACACGTCGTAAAGGAGGAATCTTTCTGACCTGATGGCCAAGGTGAGCTGAAGCCAACAAATCCCTGGAAAAACTGACATTGCCACTTGACGTCACTCACAAACTACGACTCAAACTACGCCAACTCGATACCATAGATGTCACCCAAGCTGATCCGGAGCTCTGGGAGCTCTGCGTGCCCCCAAGCTGATCGGCACGACACGTATCGCGTCCTTAGCTGCGTGGCGAGAAGGGTGAAACCGTCCTGGGCAGGAACAAACACCTCAGCCCATATCTATACTTCAGTCTTTGACCTTAAAAGAAGCTTACACTAGCCTTTAAAGCGCTTTGACTCCCATGCCGAGTTTAGCCCACACCATAGCCAACACTACCAAGAAGTCAGTCCAGTAATTCCCAAACAGGTTGGGGTCTCTTGAATCTTTTTGCTCTATTTGGCCATCGCGATTAGCTTGGAGGCCATCTCTACTAGAAACAAAGAAAATGGAAAACAGGTCTAATATAGTTTGCTATTAGGTTGGAGGCCATCGCCTTTTGGTCCTATCTCTGAACGCCAACAGCCCAAAGGTCTTTGAGTCGAAATGCCAGCGCTTCCGAAGCAAAGCCCCTCCTCCTCCGGAGAAGTCGCTTCGATCTCGCCCTCGTCAGTGGGGCACTTGGACCTGAACAGTCAGCTCCATTGAACTCCTAGTAGCGATGCCCTTTGTTACTAGTAGCTTCTTGCTAGTAGTAGCGATGGCCTCCAACCTGCTTGCGATGGCCTCCACCTAATAGCATCCTTGTTCCTTTGATATTGATATGCTACGGGCCAGGCTTTAAATCTGAAAGGCTTGGATGGCTTTCCACCCAAAGTAGGGTCAACCTCTTCTTGTGGAAGCACCATTTGACATCATTTGACTGCTTTGGTGGTGCGGGTACAGTGACCGCCTGCAGCTCTTCAGCTCTTTTTCATAGTTGCTGTCATAGCCTTAGTGTCAATGAGAGTCAAGTCTCAGAACACATCAGTCGGGGAGGGGGTCCAAATCTCAACCCACATGCACCTGACGTTCAAGCAAAGGTCTGACAGACTTTCACCCCTTCCGATTCTAACCTTCTGCAGGCTTCATCGGGGAAGGGGCGCAATGCTTGCAAAACATTGACCCCAAAGGAAATGGCAACTATATCGAAACTGCAGATGTTCGCTGTACGCCAGTCGGTGCACGTTATGTGCAAAGGACAGTTCGATGAAATGCCTTATTTATCCTTATGTATTCTTATTTGATGCTTGGGAGCCCACACAAGAGTAAGACTTGTCGTGCAGCCAAGCTTCAGGTGCAAGCTGGACCCATGCCTCTCTGAATGTCCTGGAATCGCTTGTCGCGTGCTGCCATGTGCTTGTGGCCCAAGCCCCTGTAGTTGGCCAACGTCTAAAATTGCAAGAGGTGTCCAGGATCCAGGGGTATCCAGACTCTACCTACTATTGCTATATTGCACATATACTATGGTTTGTTGTCCCAATGGTATGTAATTAAGGCCAATGACAGTGTTCAGGAGCCAAAACCAAAAGCACCAAATGGAGTCACATCTGAAACACAAACCGCAGCTCACCTCGACAACAGAACAAAATAGAGGCGATCGGCGTCCTTTGCAGAGAGCCTGATGCTCAAAGCAAGTTCACAGGTATCCAACCACATCGTTCATCCAAGCAAATATCCCTGCTCAAAGTTCAGCAATTGTCAAAAGAATACACGTTTACTACACAACCGAGGACAAAACGTCTTCAGCAGCAAAAAAGAGCATGTGGTGCTTCAACTGCATAATATCTAACAACTATGGACACAGTTGAGTGAACAGCTTCTGAAGAACATTGGAAAATTGAGTGCACAAAGCTCTCCTTTTTCGTCGTCCCATAAGCATCATGAGCCAACCTTTAAGCACAATGGCTAGAAGAACGCTAGCAGGTTGGAGGCCATCTCTAGTAGGAGCAAGGACGCTACTAGGAGGGGCTCCTGGCATCGCTACTAGTAAGCTACTGCAGCTACTAGGAGCTCCAGGCCTTACTACTAGGAGCAAGGACCGCTAAAAGGGATATATAAAGAATGTGAAGAATGTGTGCCCTCCGGTCTCATGGCGCCCGTGGCCCCGGCCTGGCACAGGGGCTCCCAGCCATGGTCGCCCGAGAGCCTGGATAGACGGTTTTACACCACTCCTCAGTTCGAATGCACACGAATCATGGCATCCAACCTAGAGATTGCCTCCAACCCAATAGCGAGCACATTGCCAAATCTGAGTCCCAGTCTGACACCGAAAAGCTATTGCTCTAGATTCTAGATGTCGATACGGTGACCCCTGTTGCTGTTGTAGCATGCAGTCTCTAAAACTAGAATCGGCCAAAAGCTGTCCTTGATTAAAGCTCATTCCATGATCTTCCAGATTCTCAAATAGTTTCAAGCAAGGTCAACAGGCATCCGTCCACCATCGCTACCTCTTTCCCAAAAAGTCCCAAACATCTATATAACCTAACAGGCTCCCGGAACAATGCTTCCAGGCATCTGCGCAGCTCATCACTGTTGCATCTTCTGGGCAAGGCCTCTGCAGTACAAGAATGCAGTTTGGCGTGCTTTGATTGTACTACCGAGGACTTTTATGGCTGAGCACCCATTGTCCTAAACTTTAGGCCTCCCAAGCCCCAACCACAAGGCTCCATGGTTGCGGTCTTGGCTTCTCCCAAGAAGGAAGAGCCCCGTTCGTAGCGCCCTTGCTCCGTTCGTAGAGGAATTTGGGGTCCCGTAATTACAATTCCAATTAAATTCTTCTTGTTACAGTAGTAAGGCACCTGTTACTACTTTCGTGGCGCTTGTTACTACTAGTAAGGCACTTGTTCCTAGTACCTTCCTCCCACCCCCAAGAGGGTCCGATTGACTGCAATCCCCGCGGGCGCCGAGAACAGAGAAGAGAGACCGCAGGCCGAGCACCAGGCGGATCTTTGCCCTGAACCAGGCCCAGCAAGGAACCAAAGCCTCAAACGTTGGAAACTCCAGCTGCTTACAATGGGAACTGTGCTGTTGCATGAAACATGTAGCACACCACCAAAGAAGCTGGGCTCATAATCATGCCCTCTATATAGTGGCCTCAAGTTGTTGCCAGTATCATCCAACATCTGATACTTCCGATGTGCCTTCTGATTGCGAACGAAGGTGGCAGTGCCATTATACGAACGGGAAGCGAGCCATCTGCCATTCTCGGAACATACAGGAGCTCTCACAGTCCTCTTGCTTTAGGGCGGAGGTCTCCACAGATCGTCGCAAAAAGTGGCCCCTCAAACAACCCAGCCGGCTCCTGAACGACACCCATATGGCTGCCGAGTATCACAAAGCAGCAAGTTGCTTCATCACTGCGCTGTCAGAAAGCTGTTGGGAATGGGTGACTCTTGGAATTCCTTGTGAGAATTGCAACTGTCTCTATCGGATCAGTTAGCACTGCGTGGCAAAAGTCAAACACTGCGTGGCAAAAGGTCACGAGGATTCAGTGAGGTGTTGCCGCCTCCATGTCGTTAACGCTGTCGGTATTTGGTGAGTTGATGCCAATGTTTGGGACAACTTCCTAAAGCGATGGCCTCCAACCTAATAGCAACTCCGTGACTACTTATCACATCATCACTTGGACCCGTCTGCTCACATGTGTACAAATATCCTGAGATCCCCGAATGGACCTAAGCTATCAACGTGAAGGGCCTAACATTCAAGCGCTGGTATTCCTACAGTGTGCCGTTCTTTGTGTTGCTCAGGTTGTTCAGCCATGTTCAGCCTGCGGGCCCTTTGGCCCGCCAATCTAACATTGGCTCAGCCTCTGAAAGCCAAAGCCACGGAAATTGTTCGACATGACCCTTTCGCATGTTGAATGCGTTAATCAACACTCCTCTATATCTCACATAAAAGCTTCAGAAATTCAGCATCTTTGCAAATGGACCACTTCATGCATTTGATAACCTTGTATCTTTCTAGTTGATGCTGGAGGTTGTGGCCGCGATCTTGTGACAGAAACATGGCAATATGTTTTTGCAAGAAAATGCAGTAGGAGCGGGTAACACAAACAAGAAGTACACACCGAATCTCTGTCTACTGGGCCTCTTGCACTCTTGGCGTTCATCGGTTGGTTTGAGGTGATAGGTCTGACATCAATTAGACCATATGCCATAGTGTCCTTTCCTCTGTCATGCCTGAACATCTCCACTCTGCAGGTCCTTCGTGGTGTCTGACTAACTGAGGTGTCCGACTCCAACTCAAGCAACGTCCAACTCCCGAGCAGCTGCCCCTGAATCAACGACAAGCACAGGAACGCATACGATGTACAACGACTTAATGTGTGCAGCGCTGTTCCCCGTCCCTCATGCTGGAGCCTGCCCATGTTCAGCAACACGTCTTTATGCAGTGAAGGCAGGAAATTTAGCAAAAGAGGTTCTGCAAAATGCTCCTGCATAGCGAGCCTCCAAACTGTGAAAACTATTTGACAAAACGTGCCAGGAGTGCAGCGTTCAGCACTCTCCACCTCGGGGCCACGGCCGTCAAACCGCCCCAACTGTCTCTACATTAGACTCATTAGACCTAGGACCGTCAAGTCATCAGACCGGCACTGACGGTCATCAACCGGTTCAAGTTCGAAAGAATCAAGTCAAGTCAGTCATGACGGCACACGAACTGCAGGGAAAGAAATCCCATGAAACAATCAAGACATTCCCTTGTTACTAGTAGCTTCTTGCTCCTAGTAGTATGGCCAGGAGCCCCGTTCGTAGTGTCCTTGCTCCTAGTAGCGATGCCCTTGTTACTAGTAGCTTCAGTAGCTTCTTGTTTCCCCAGCAAATGATGAACATGTCCACTAGTTGCCCTGTTCAGCTTGGCTTGATGAGATTGGACCTTTTCAACGCCTCACAAATGCGTTGCATCAAAGCCACATTGACCCCATGGGCTTGTCAGTTGCTGCCTCACCAAGGAAGTCACATCACGACATGTCACACCCACGTTGGACCGCCCTTTGACAAGTCGATCAACATGAGGGACACCCTCTCAGACCCTCCCTTTGGAGTGAACAAAAGAAGGAACCTCCCAGAATCCGCAGATCAAGAAGCTACTAGTAACAAGGGCATTTCTACTAGGAGCAAGGTACAAGTAGCTCCTGGCATTAGTACTAGGAACAAGAAGCTCGTAACTCTGTCATGGTGCCATTTCGTGTTTGCCTGCTTCCGCCACACCTTTCAGTTGCCGCAAAGGGCTTGGAAGTCAAACACCCAGCCCGACAGAGATCGTCACATCCTCAACCTCCACGAACTTCCAAAACGACGAAGGCCTCAAAGACTGGGAGGTTTTGGCCTCAGACCAGTCGATACATCAGCCCCTAGTCGCGTCCTAGTAGCGATGCCCTTTGTTACTAGTAGCGTCCTTGCTCCCAGTAGTAAGGCCAGGAGCCCCTAGTAGCGTCGTTGCTTCTGGTTTCATTTGTTTTCCAGTTGCTTGAGACAACATTTGGAGGTTGTTCAAAATGCCTTTTCCCGAAAACTATCCTTGCGCCGGCCTTGGGCGAATCTTGCACGAACACAGTAAAACTACATGTTCTGTTCAAATAAGGTTTTTCGTTTACCTGTTTTCGTGGGTGTGTATGTGTATGTAAACCGCTGTTACAGGCGGAGAGTTTACAAACCACAGGGCAGGGGGCACTAGTCCCCGTGAGAGTTTTCCCATTTGCACTAGTCCCACTGTTCGATGACTACAGAGCTATCCAAAGATTCTTCACATTGCTTTTCGTCGACTTCAGGTCACGTTCTTGACCGCTAACTTCTGTTAGTCGTGAGCAGTACCAAAGCGGCTTGCTGAGAAGAAAGCAACAACACAAACACGGAGAGGCAGCAAGTAAGCTTGACATGAGTTAAAGCCGCAGGCCATCGCTTCTAGGTTGGGGGCCATCGCTATCAGTGTGTTCTAGTTCTGAACAAGAGCACCGAGGTAAGGCCCGAACGTGAACCGCTCAAAAGATTTCTGAAAGATTCAATGTGTAGCCAGTCCTAAGATGATCGATGACCGAATGTCTAACAAATGGATTTGGATTGGCCGGTCGGGGCCTCAGCACATAAAACTGTGTATGCCATGTCACTCTCTTGATGTAAACCCCCTGCGCATGTGCGAGAAAGTGCAGTCAAATGCTGATCCTCTTTTCTGCTACTGCGGCATCAAGATGTCCTTGTGGAGGTGTCGCGGGACTTGCCTAACAGTGCCTTTCATGTCATCAACTTATGTCCAAACAAGTCCAAACAACATGTTTGCTTGTTAGTTTGCAAGAGATCTTGTGGCAAGCAGCACTCCCACCACCGTTCTCCACGTAAGCTTGCCGAAAGCGGGACCGCTGTAAGGAAACAAGAATGATTATCCATTGGACCATCGCACTGAGGCCACTGGGGCCGTTTTCCGCACCAAAAAGAGTCTGCCATGTGTCGAGCAAGAGTCATTCCACGAAGGCCGCATGATGGACACATGACACACGGGACACAATTCCATGAAAGCTGAAAGTCTCAAAAACACAAGACACAAGGGAGCGATCATGAAGGGATCGCAGGATAGATGATTTTGTGCATGTTGATAGGCATTCACGATAGATGTTTGTACCATGTTGTTTCCCACAGAGATCACTAACTCACTAACATGTGGCACTGGCCTTTCTTGGTCGCTACCCAACACTTGAACGAATTGCACAACTTCAATGATTTTGAGACAAAATAATCTACGATAATCTAAGCCGCACTTCACCACATGGACAAATGGACATTTTGGAGCCCTTGGTGGTCAACTGTGACAGGTGAATTTGTCGCATCCAAAGGCAGTCTCCAAGAAAGGCCCAACCACCTTGAGACCACAACTGGGCTCAAGGAAAGCTCGTGAGAGGGCACCATGGGCACGCCCTCACTCACTGATTCGATCGACGAGTCAAGCACTAGCAACAATTCAGATTCGTCGCAGGATTCATTCGGATTCTTTGTCCTTCTTCTTCTTATCTTTCTTTTTCTTGTCCGTATCTTTCTCGGAGGTATCTGCCTGGCACACGAGTGCCGGAATAATCTTCTTGCCAGAAATGATGTAGCGTTAAGCCGTTAAGCCCTTTAAAATCGAACAGTTCGTTTCGAAAAGGAAGCTGGCAGTACTTGCAATTCTTCCAACTTCTTGTCGGCATCAGCTGAACCATAGAGGTCCTGACCATCATCCTTGACCTAACACCAGCGGTGCGTGGATGTTGCCCCTGTCGGATTGGATCATGATGTCTGAATACCAGAAAGAACTTCGAACGGCACTACTCAGTCGGACATTGGCACGCGACTGACGCTACTAGGGGCTCCTGGCCTTACTACTGGGAGCAAGAAGCTACTAGGAACAAAGGGCATCGCTACTAGGAGCGTGCTCCCATGAGCGCCTGTTCCACCCGTCAAAATTGATTTCAACTCAAAGCTCCTCGTGCCCTGAGATCACAACGTCTGGAGGTGGTGGCTCTTTCTTCATTTCCTCAGGCGGCTCAAACTCCTGCAAAGCACTTGAGAAGTCATGATGAACTAAGAGAAACAAGGCCAAAGTTTGGGACGGCGATTCCTAGCAAGGATTGCTTCAGCGTCATTGTCTTGCTGGAGGTTGGCCACATTGGAGACCCACACAAGCCAAACATACGTGCTTGATGAAAGGACTGGTGGTGACCAACTAGTAACAAGTTCATTCATTACTACTAGTAACTAGTATACTTAGTATACCTAGAAGCTACTATAGAAGCGATGCCCCTGCTACTAGCTTCATTCGCCCGCGAATGCCGCAAAAACCCTACGCCCTACGGAGCAGCCAAAGGTGCTGAGACCAGTAGGTGCGATGACAAAGCCCTACAATTAGAGGCACCCTCACCAAGTCTATAAAGTCTACACTCGGGTTGACCGAGTCAATCCCCTTCTTCCTCCTTGACCCTCTGTTTTGTACAAACCTGTGGCTCCTCCTCTTCTTCATCCACGAAGTCTTCTCCGTTTTCTTCTGCGAAAAGGGCCGCCTCTCTCTCCCTCAGGCTGCAGGTGTCAGAAAGTAGAACCTGTACCACCCAATGGCTGGATCTGTCAACACACAAAGCAAACATCGAGCTGTCATGCTGGCACCAAGCCCCTTGTGACGGGCCAAATTCAGACCTAAAAGCATCTTAGCAACATGCCCCTGAGTGGATCAAACACTGTTCCAAAGGAGCTTTGAGTAGTGGTAGTGGTTGAGCTTTGAGTACCTCCCGATGCTGGCAATTAGGTTCTATCTGGGTTCTATTCTATCTATCCCGAAGATGTTCTTACCCTTGCATCTCTTTCCCCTGCAACTTCAGAAACAAACGTCCGAGGCATGGGCTTTTGCTCCTGGCAAAGCAAGTGCTTGAAGGGCTTCTCTTGGGATAAAAACCTCTATAAAATCTGTGGCGCTGGCCTGACACACTGACCAATACCGACTCCTAAGGATCTGTGGGCATCCAAAATGAAGAAATTGCATGCGATTGAAAAGGGCAGGGATGTGACCGGATGCGGGTGGTAGAAAGCACCTGGCCACTTGTCACACCCTGAGTCTGAAGCTGACCTGCCTATGAGGTCCATGAGTCCCCAGCGTGGCAGCCTCACTGCATCACACTTTTTGGCCAATTTTCGGCGGATCAGGTTAAAGGCTCGGCGCTTCCCCAACTGCCTGGCGATACAATTGGAAGAAAGGAGCCGATCTACTAGTTGCTTCAGCTGCCTCTGCAGCTTGTGATGTCTGAAGCATCTGGACAGTTTGCATGTCTTTGAGATCGGGCATGCCATCCACCAAAGGTACCTAGGCAGCAGGCGCTCATGACCAAGTTAGCAAGGTCTCAAATGAACACGGAAGAAATAAGTCTTTTGTCATGTCTGTCATGTCATGAGTCGTACGACTGAAGACCAATGTGTGTGTACGATGGTGGTCTTCATAGCAGGCAACGCAGGCAAGGTGCTGTGGCCATGTTTGCGATCCCACAGGTGTTCCTCCCAAACTCCAAATGGATGTAGCCGTTTTCACCCCAAGTGGTTGACCATTGGTTCCTTACAATCCAGTGCGGCTTCTCTCCAGTGGTGTTGTAGCCCGTCAGTTGTGCTGCATGATCCAAATCATTCCAAGTGCTTCCGCCACACGCATCGTATGACAAAACCCCACCTGCGTAGTGGAACCAATTCTTGGAGTTCACAGCAACTGCGACGGGGCCAAGCTGCACCAGGGTGCGTCTCAAGCTTTCCAAATTCTGGTTGTCACCTCGAGAAACTGGAGGAACCCTCGCTCCAACCCAACTCTTGTGCTAAAGCGACCCAAAAGAACAACAAACGATGACATATTAAACCCCCTCGAGCGTCCGCGACCCCAGAATCCGTTTGGCAAAACGATTTCGCGAGGTCCGCTCAGTCAAGGAAGAGCGGAAGCGAAAGAAGCGAAAGAAACACATGATCATAGAACAGGAAAACATTGAAAACATGTCTTACCCTAGGGATCCGGTCGTACCTTGTCAGCCCTATGGTTAAAAAGAGTCTTAAGAAAAGAAAAAAACGATACATGCTGCAAACAGTTTTGCAAGTGACAGTTGCTGCCAGGATCGCAAAGCGGGGTTGCCCAAAGAGCTCCTCGCACACGACCGATGGGTCCTATAATGTGCTGGTAGGTTGCAGCATCCGTGAGGTTCTTGTGGCAGGGCTTGGTGCAATACTTGTAATCGCATCGCTCCTCGGGCAAGTAGCCTCCCTCATACGGCCAAAAGGCCTCCTGGACCAAGCCAACCTGACTCTTCATCACATAGTTGTAACCTAGGTTAACAGAAGCGTGCAGCTCATCGACTGTGATTTCAGGTTCGTGTTATCTAATGTCATCTACTTCTTGCCACTACTGAGACATTTGAAACTGAGTGCGTCTCATCGACTCGGTTCATAAGTCCCACCATGTCCCACTGCCTCCTTGGCTTATCCCATGTCTAAAAATCAATCCTGGGCGCTGGTCCCAAGTGGCCTCACTACCTGCATATAAACTTCAAACTCCTTCTGCCAGAGCCTCCAAGATGTATGTGATATGACAATTATATATAATTTTCCATAATTATCCTATATTTGTATCACAACATGTCACAACCCTTGGCAAATCCGGCTCGTATCCAACATGTACTTGCCTTGCGTGTCTTTGTGGCATTTGGCCACGTGTCTTGCATTGCCTTGCAGCCGCGGCTCCGTTGACGGGGTTGCCACCACCGCAGCCATCGGCCTCAACGCTGCAACTGATCATCTGCTGCACTGAGAAGATCTCCGAGTAGCCACCACCCCCACCACCCTGCCACAAAGTGTACCTCTGCTGGGCGTTCACACGGTACAGCGGCGCACACGGCCTGCTGCTTGATCAATTTCACTTGAGAGAGGAGGGGGTGAACGAAAGGTAGCAGGCAATCACAAGCAACCCTGGTAGAAGTCCATGACGGCGTGAACGGCGCAGGGGGGATTTGATCCAGGGGGGGTTGCCCCCCCCCCCCGACGAACAGAACTTGAGGCCAGGGGGAGAGGTCGAAAGCTAGCCGAATCGCACCGGATGTACTAGTTACATAGTCGGCAAAGCATGTAGGGATGACATGTTTTGGGAGGAAGGTTGCTATGTACATACTTTGCGCTAAAGAATGTAAATGTGACATCGCTGACTGGGAAGGGTACATTGGAACAACCCGGGTGCACTCGTTGGCAGGCACGAAGATGCGTGATCGGCAAATCTGGGGGGTAAATTTACCCTCCGCTTTTGTATGCCTTGAGTCGGAAAGAGGGGTAAGCATTTCTGACATCATACGGACTGTACATACACTAGGGCGTCCGTAGTGTAGGAGAAGCACGGGTAAAAAGTATATGGAATAGAGTGTCTTGAGGAAATAGCCGGTGTATGGTTATTGCAAATCTGGGGGGTAAATTTACCCCCCGCTTATGTATGCCTTGCGCTGGAAAGAGGGGTAAGCATTTCTGGCATCACAAGGACTGTGCATACACTAGGGCGTCCGTAGTGTAGGATAAGCACGGGTAAAAGGTAGAAGGAGTAGAGTGTCTTGAGGAAATAGCCGGCTTATGGTTATGGCAAATCTGGGGGGTAAATTTACCCCCCGCTTATGTATGCCTTGAGCCGGAACGAGGGGTAAGCATCACAAGGACTGTGCATACACTAGGGCGTCCGTAGTGTAGGAGAAGCACTGGTAAAAGGTATCAAGAATAGAGTGTCTTGAGGAAATAGCCGGTGTATGGTTATAGCAAGCCTGGGGGGTAAATTTACCACCCGCTTATGCATGCATTAGGTTAGAAATAGGGGTAAACAACTTGTAACGGTGAAGTACAAGTCCTATGCAGCAAGCAGCAGCCAGCAGCAGCAGCAGCAGCAGCAGCAGCCGCCTGCAGCCAGCAGCCAGCAGCAACCACCAACCAGCAGCCAGCCAGCAGCACCACGCAGCAGCAGCGCAGCATCAAGCCGCAGCAGCAGCAGCACCACCGGCAGCAAGCAGCAAGCAGCAGCAGCAAGCAGCAAGCAGCAAGCAGCAGTAGCAGCGGCGTCGTCAGCAACAGCAGCAGCAGCACCAAGCCGCAACAAGTAGCAAAGCAGCAGCTACAAAAGCGGCAACCAGCGGCAGCAGCAAACAGCAGCAGCAAGCAGCAGAGCGGCAGCAGCAGCAGCAGCACCCTTTACACCAAGCCACCGTTACACCCAACCAACCACGTTCACACGTTCAACCAACCCCCTACACGGCGCAGCTGGGAGTTGAACCGCGGGGGGGGGGGGGGGGGGGGTGAAAGAGTGACTAGGGCGTACACGGTAGAGGTGCAGACCGCTAGTGTCTTTTATGCGCAGAGTCTTATCCTCTTGCTCTTTAGGTCCATTGACCCTCTCTTGAGCCTTATGGCAGTCAAGCATGGACACACTAGATAGGCCACTGGAGTGGAACCTGTACAAGTAGGCCTCTACATTTCAGCAGGCACAAAATTCATGTCCACTCCTGCCTATTGCGTATGTCGCACACTATTTTTCTACCGTAAGGCTAAAACAGTCCAGCTAGCTCTGACAACTTAAAAGAAAACTACGGTGCCATGTACTTACCTAATCCGGTGTGTTTCACACTTCAGAGAAGGTAATCTCATAGCTACTAAATACAGTGAGGGAGCAATAGCTGACTCACCTCAAGTACAAAATCAAATCGATAATGTACCTCGGCTGGAGACTGTACTTTTCGCAGGCGGAGATACCATGTACCGGCGCTCACTAGCTCTTTATGGCCTGAGCTAAATCAAACTAAAAAGGGAAAGCGGCTTCTTACACAGAGACCTATAAAAGCAGTAAACGACACTCGCATCACGAAAGAACTAAAGATTCAAGACCGCACAAATGCAATGAATTAATATGCCTTGCAAAATGCAAGGAGCGTCAACTCTCGGTCCGAGGAATGGTCTTCTCGAAAAGTGGTCTCGGCCGCTTTCATAAACTGCATCAAAAGGACTCTTTCTTTCATTGACACCAAAAACACAAGAAGGAGATACCGGCAAATGTATGTACAAAAAAAATCTTGCACTACAATTGCAAATCATGAAATGACTTAATCATCAACCATGACTGGTTGTCCATTAGAGGTCACTTCATAAAAGCGGTGGTGATAGATATCATCAGTTCTGTAAAACTGTCCATACCTATCCACATGCTAAAGCGTATAAACCTGGAATGCAGGAGTATCTTCTTTGATAAAAAGTTTCTCCTCATTGCAAACCAGAATTTATTAAAACTTCAGCCTGGCAACTTAAAGTCAAGCCTGGAAGCAAAGTATCAACTGTAATCAGAAGTCTCTTCACTTCCTAGCCATCATTTAAATCTCAGCCTTCACTCAGGAATTATGCCGCTGCAGACGATGAAGCTGCTTGACCAGAAGTTGGCGGCCTTCCTTTCCTTTTATTCTCTTTCTGTTTCTCCTTCCTCCGCAGTTTTGCCTCCTGAAGCGTTGCTCCCATGCGATACTGTCTTCTGTCTCCAGATGAAAGGGAAGCTGGTCTGAGTGAAATAAACATTGGACCATGACTGTCCTCGTCAGTGGGCCTTGAGCACATAACCTCTGTGTCAATCATAGCAAAGTTCTCTGAAAAATTACAGATGAACTCCTTCGTACTCACTGTGGAATTTTCATATTCCTCTTCACTCATTGAATGACCCCATTCAACAATGGTAGACAAACATGTATCGCCAAGCTGTGATCCTTGGTATTCTTCTTTTTCAACAGTAGAATATTCTTCCCAGAGTTTATCAAAGTAAACTTCACACTTCTTGAGGACCTGTGAAGTTGAACTGTAAAATGTTCTGGGAATAGGTGCTTTGATACCAAGATCTGCCTTTACACGAGCTTCTGAAAACCTGCGGATCCAATGCTGCATGGTGCTGTAATAGTAGTTAGCCATTGGCTGCCTTTTGTACCCAGACATTCTGTAGGCCAAACTATTTGCATCACCAGAAATGATGTCCACCTCATAGACAAAACACTCGTAAAGCATCAATGCTGTCTGTTCTCCTGTCAGTAGGTGGGCGTCCACAGCACGGTGTGTATCAACATGATAATTACAGACTCTGATGGTATGCATGTTCGCTCGAGTAAGTGGAACACGCTTGTCCTCAGGGCCATAGTCATCAAATTCAAAGTCTGCATCCTTGAAATCTTGACGAGGCCTTGTTTCTCCAAAACAAATCTCGTAGATAGCCCAAGTTACATCACGCTGTTGACAGTGACCACGTTCTTGATCATGTCCAGCAATGATCTTGACATATCCACCTGGTGCTAGTCTAGCCATCACTGCAAGATTCTCCCAATCATTGAAACAAACTGTCCAATTCTTTTGCTCAATAAATTCCTTGGCAGGAACAAGAAGATGAGCCTCCTGGAGAATCACGACATGTGCACGTAAAAAGAAGAGCATGTTGAAGAAAAGATTGTTTTCAAATTGCTCATATTGAAGTGACATGGCACTCTGCTTGCGTGGCTTCATTGCACCATCAAGTCCTTGGAGAAACCTTGGTGTGGTGTACTTCTGACCACGAACCATGTTGCCATAGTTCCAGGATAAAAATGTCAAGGACTCTGAGCTGGCCAATAAGTTAGTTCCATATGGTTCTTCTATTCTTCCCTTGAGGAACCTTCTGCACAGCTCTTCATAGAAGGTGACAAAGTCCCAACTGGGTCCCTTGGGACCATATGATTCCAGTTCCTTCTTGAGTTCCTTTTTCGTATCCTCCAATTCTTCTCGAGCATGACCTGCCCTTTCAAGGGCCTTTGGATCGACCTGATACTTGCCATCCAAATAAATGATGCGATCATCATTGATAAAGAATCTCTTCAAATCATGCTCTGGTTCATGTTCATAACAATCAGGTGGAGGTACTGGACAGACATTTCGAATGGATCGAACAAAATCATTCTCGTTGATCCTTGACTGATAATGAGGATGGGAAATCTCACCTTTTCTGAAACAAACATGATTCAGCAATCTTGCATGAGTTTCCCTGAAGCGTAGTTGATAAAAGCCAATACCTGGATCTCCTGTAAGCTCTCCAAGCAACTTCAAAGGTGAAGTGTGCAACTCATAGGTATTGTCAACTTTTGTTGTATCCTTTTCAACAACTACTTCAGATGGAAAAGATTCTTGGATTTCAGCCTCCAATTTCTTCTCTTCATCATCCTCTCTGACCTCTTTTATTTTCTCCACCGCCTCTTTCTTCTCTTCCATGGTTGCATCATCCTGAACTTCTTCATGAAAATGAGGATCAGGAATCTTATTCAGGCGGCTTCTCTTCGATTTCCGCTGACCTGAAGTATCATCAAGGTTAGCATCCATCTCACCTGATGGTAAGTGCGATGCAGTTGAGTCTTCACCTATCTCTCTTGACAGAAAGTGTGGTGTTGACTCTTCCTTGGCTTCCTCCTGGTCCACTTCCATCTTTGGTTCCTCTGAAGGAAAAACACCTGCATTCTCATCAAATATTTCTTCTTCCTTTTCAGGTTCAACTGCAAGATCTTCTTCAGGAACTTCCTCTTCCATATTCTCATCTTCTAGAAGTGTCATACTTCCAGTATAGACTTCTCCAGCGATAGTGGAGACTCTTGTATAAGTAGGAACTTCTTCACCTGCTTCAAAAGCTTGTTCTGCAACATCCTTGGTGAGCAAGTCCTCTACAAGATTTTCTCCCTCGGTTCTTGGAAGAGGTCCTGAGGTCTCATAAAAATCTGTCCTCTCTGAACTGAAAGCTTCTGTCGCCTTCTCATTGTCCTTTTGATCCCTGAACAGGTGAGTAATC